TAGGGAAAGGCAGAAATCTTCAGAGCACTGGCCAGCTGTCAGGCTCGATACCTGAGTGGGCTCAGTAAATGCCCCCTCCCAAAGTGCGAAAAGGGCAGCCTGTGAATGCACAGCGTGTGTGTGCGCACACCGAAGATGGTGTTTCAGCAAGTGTTGCTGAAATGGTACCTCGTGCTCAGAGGCCATCTGTACACACCAGTAAGCTGCAAGGTCCATTCTGATGCTGATTTTTCACTCTCACAATGTTGTCAGGCACTTGGTTTCCCCCAGGTCATCAAATGGACCCCAATCTGTCCCTCACAAGTGTCTCACGCTCATATGATGGACCTTCTTGCTGCTTAGTGGTGAGCTACTGACCCCAGTGCTAGCCAAGATTAGCACAGTGATGTGTGAAATAAGGATAGACCTATTTTTTCATGGGTGTTTGACCTCCAGTAGTCCAAACAGACAGGGACAGAGTGGGTGGGAGGAAGCTAAAGCAAGCAGTGGAGTATCTAGAATATTTAGCAGGGTGGGAGAGAGCGAGCCATGACTTTCCAGCAGCACCTCAGTGTGCCAGGTCTGGCTTTAATCAGGGCTACCAGCCATCAATTTCATGCACAATAAAACTCACGGCAGAAATGAAAAGACCTAAGGAAAATGGATGAAAAAGACAACCAACTGTATGTAACAGAAAGTCTAAACAGGCTCCTTCCTTTCAAAGGGTCGCTGCCAGCTTGCTTTTATTTATTTTGGAAATGAAATCATCATGCAAAAAGGGTTTTGTCTTAATTAAAATTTCCTGTTGTCCCAAGTGCAGATGTGTGGTGGGTGTGAAAGGAAATTAGTGAGTAAGCTGTGGGTAGAATTCTCTTTCCTGGTGAATCCAGGCGGCAATCCGTGATACTAAACTTCAGGAAGGTTTAAGTCAGTGATAACAACAGACTCTGTTTCAAATAAACAAAGTGAGAGAAAGAAAAGAGAAAAATACTTTTTTCACATATGGCATAAGTTCAAATTAAAAAATGACTGTTCAACTCATGTATCTAGCAGTACATAAAGTAATATTGCTACAGTAAAGTTGCCTTAATTTAATCCTTTTTTTTTCTTGGCAGCTAGGATCCAAGCAGGCCTTTTGCAACTAGTTTACAGTTTATATAAGTGATTCCTATATATGAACATAAAGTAAGCATTCTTTTATTGTAAAATCTGATCACTCCTTAAAAACTCCTTCCTCATGTTAGACTGTGTAAACACTTATTTATACCAATCCATGACAGCACATAAAGTGCCCATCCACAACTGAAAGTCATTTATTTATATTTGTCAGAAGTGAAACATCACATGTTATTCTATTGCAATAATAAAGGTAGTTTAATATATAATTCCAGGAGGTACAATTTTGTCTTAAATGTTTTTTGAGCGTAAACAAATTACTTCCCATTAATCTTTTCTTTTCCACTAGGTTTTGAGTCCCAGTTGTTCAATTTTCAGTGATAGCCAGCTTCTTGCCACTAGTTTTCTGGTCTGCTACATCGCTAAATTGCACTTCCAGGAGAGACTGTTTCTTTTCATGCAGATTGAACAACATTACTGGTGACAAAATGAGCAAAAACATTAGGGAAATGAAAAGTGATGTTGAAGTTGCAAGCCATGGCACAGATCATTAGATTATTACATCAACATTCATGATAGTGGAAATCTAGGGAACAATATTTGTACTGCCTGGCCCAGTAAGCATGTCTGTGCACACCTGTCATGTTTTGATATACGAGACTTGCCATCATAATACTGGCCCCACACTGAATCGTTTGCATTAATTCACGTGGCATAGCTTCTAGAGTTGTCTTTTAACTCCAGGGATTATGTTGTCACAATCAACTAAAAGCTGAACCTTGATCTGCAAATTCCAAAGATAAGAATCACAGAATTGTAAAAGCTGGAGGTGCAAAAGACCTATCACTTTGTCTGATCCCTCGCTCTGCTAGAACAAGATTATTATCTTATCTCTCAGAGTGCTTTGTGTCGCTCAGTTTCTTACGTTTCAGGAAATCTGCATTTTTCTGCATTCTTATATCATACTATTACATTTTTCTTCTCCTTTCAGCCTATATTTTGTTTTCTGCTTCCCACTCAGGAATGGTCCCAAGCCCGCTCCCAAGATGAGATATATTTACCATCCACAGAGTATACCTTCCAGCTCTTATGAAGAGGCTACCTGAGCCCAAACTCTGGAATAGGAGAGCCCAAGAACAACATCTTAGTACCGGATGGACTGGAGGTCAGCGCCATAGCAGAGTGAGGACACTTCAGCAGGCAGTCCAGGCTTGTCTCTTCCTCCGACACAAGATGAGTTCTTTGCAATGTAAGAGAGTCTTCTACCACAGACATCATCTTTGTATCACAGAGAAACTCTCTTCCTTCTCAGGCATTTTGTGCTACTGCTCTGCCTGCGTATGTCCCAGACATCACCAGAGCCTTGTGCCACCATCACATCTGCAGGTATCTCTGTGTGTCGGCAAGATGCTCCTCCACATCAATCTATTGAAACAAACTCCCCCTCACTGTGCAAGCTCTGCCCTATGGCCCTGTCTGGAGTAGGAGACCATGACAGGCATTTATGTATTGCTCGATATACTCTTTTCAAGGGCACCAGCGCCTTATTACAGGACTCCACTGAGACCACTGTAGGTGCCTAATCTGGTTCAAAAGAGAAGCTCGTGTACAACAAGACAACAATAAATTATTCAAATTGCCTGCCATGCTGGACTGACAGACACACAGTCCCTATAGTGACCTGGCTCTCTTTACAGGCAATGGAGAGCAAGAGTCACAGTGCCACTGTGCTGGCACAAAGGTGCCTCACTCCAGTGTTGTGATTGATCCTGCCCTCTTCCTTGGAAAGGAGGGTAATCTCCTGATCTGACTGTACGCAGTGTGATGGTTAAGCACTTACAGGAGGTGGTTGTACATCTCTCTTACCTATTTCTTTCCCTTCAAGGGCCACACTTATGTTTTCAACCATGTGGCAACCAGCATTGTAGACACAACTAGACAGCTCCACTTCTCTGCTGACCATTTCGTCTAAGGAAAGGAGGAGATGATTTTTATCCTTACCGTGTGAGCAGCAGCAGATAAGGGAGTTCTCTGAACAGGAGTGCGCCTGTGACTGCGATTATCCCACAAGACAATTTGGCCAGAGTATGTTCCACCAACGACCAGGTTTGGGTGAAAGCGGGCAAAACAGACAGACATCACGGAGGACTGGAGTAAAACAGGTAGGGAAGAAGAGTGGGGTTTCAGGGTCAGTCATCAATTTTCTCCTTAAGGAAGCATCTTGTAATTAGATTTTTGTATTTTAGAAATCACTGTATGAGCTCTATTCATATCCCTTGCACACCAGTAATTCTGCTAAAGCCAATAGGACACATGCAAAGAGCTGATTTTGCCCCTGAAATGTGTAGTTCCATTGGTCCTAGGGAAAACATGCACCACAGGATGAGTCTTAGCATGATGCTAAAAACCTGAGATAACCTCTCCATGACAGCTTAATTTCCTTTCCAAAAGTGGAAGTAACCAGATGCCAACAGCGGTTGGTATTCTGGCCTATGATTTTCCATCAGGGAGAGCTCTTCCCCTATTGCTCCTCTAGCTTCTAACTCAAAAAATTTGAGATGAGTTTGTGAGAGACCCTCCAAAGTTCACCTGAAGGTGAGCTGCCTTGAGAGCATCAGCTGACAAGCCGTGTCTCATTGTTGGATCAATGACTGATTTCTCTGCTACAGAGAGGTCCTCTTCTAGTAGCAGAGGGAATCATACTTTCCCTTACACTGTTTGAGCAGAAATGAGTTTTTCTTCATTTTAATGACAGCAGAGTTACCTTTGCAGATTTTCTTTAGCTGGGGATGCTGAGAAGCCAGACTGGTGTAATGGTTACCCTTGGATATGTGGTAGAGTGCCTCACAAGCCAGTATGGAGATGGGTATCTATCCCAACTACTGCCTTCCAGTCTTTTTAAAATAACATACAACATCTGAAGTCCTCAAGGGAACAGTCCCCAGAGCCTTCATGTGCCAACAAGCTACAGCCAAGAGCAACATGCTGTAACTCCTTCAAGTCCTCCATCCTCTTTCTAAGGAATTATTTCCCATTTTTATATAATTGGTCCTGGATGTTATGTCTTGGTTTTATGCAAATTGGAAAGCAAAAGATAAAGCATTCATATAATTTCCTGAGAATTCACATACTAATAAAGACAGTTTGCAAACAGAAGCAAATGTCATTTTTTCATGGGCAGCTTTAGTGATGCTTACAAGCCACAGAGCAAGACTTGAACTGCTGCGGCAATTACAGTCAGAAAGTTATATTCACTGTTAGTGGTCGCATTCTTAAAAATTCATTTTCTGGCTGTTCCCAATGAGTTTTGGTAACAAATCTTTGATATAGTTTAATGACTGGATATTTTGAAGTGGTGATATTCCTATGTGTGAACTCATTTTACTCAATGACAAGGGGTTAACTAAATTACTGTATTTCAGTTGCAAAAAAACCATTGCAGACATGTACGCAAACTTTGTTGACTTGGGAACATAGGAGCTGCCAAGATGAACTAGACCCAGTGTCTACCTAGCTGACGACTCTCTGGCAGGAGTGGATGGAGTTGTAAAAGCTTTGACGTGGGCAGATGTGTTGTCTTCTTTCCTTACTGCTCATCATCCTGATTTCTAGTGCCTAGAGACTGGTTTGAACTCTTACACCAGAGATTTAAAACCCCTTCTGATAGGGCTAGAATTAATTATGTAGACATAGTATACAGTAGTATAGTCAATACTGTTTTTTTCACCTAATAAGATTGCCAAGACAATGAAATAAGCTGCCACTACCTTTTTTTCTTCTCCCTGGAGTCTCATGGCTATTCACTTGACATCTTTGATCCCTTCCCTTCTTGATTAAAGCTTTTGCATACGTTTCTTTGATGTTATATAGTCTAGTATCTAATGACTAGATGATTAATATACATAATTGCCTATTGTAGTCCATATCTATCTAAGCGCTTGAGCATAGTAATTACACTATGGTCAGTTGTAGCAATAAGCACCATTTCCAAAGGACCTATAAGCTTTACAGATAAGAAAACCCACCTCTGAGTAACAGGACTTCAGTACTGCTAAGAGGGTCTTAAAACTCAGATACAATGCAGCTGCCATCCAGTTTCCACAGATCCCCCATACATTATAATTAAAACGACCCTACAGTACATGTTCTACATTTTATCTCTTTGTTTAATGGCTTCATGAGTTGTTTTAATCAACCCCTCTCATTCCTTATAACTAAGCTGACAGATATTCTTACATGAAGTGAAATAGCCAGATGATTTTAAAATAGTACAGCTCCACCACTGTGTACACCCCACAGCAGCTACAAGGCTCCACATGTATTTTAAGAAACCCCAATTCAAACAGTCATTCCACAACAAAGTTCTCAGTTTGTCCGAAACAAACTTGGGAGACTCTGAAGCAGGGCAAAGAAGCCAAGTGGACAGTGTATTTTTAAATGTTGTGTTTTCATGGTTAGCATGGTTTTGAATTCAGAATCCCAGAATACAGTTGAATGGTCAGGATATAAACTGCTAAAGTGTGTTTTTCATAAAGTTCAAAAATAGCCTACAGACATGACATGGACTTAAGCCCTCTGTGCTGCTTCTAGTTTTACATATCGCTCCAAAGTAACTTGCATTCTTCATCTGATGAAATGTTCACATCCTTTTAATTATGTCAATATTATTTTTCTACCAAGGAAAAGCTTCTGTCAAATATTAGAATTTAACAATTTAAGGACTCCAGTCCATAGCACTTAATACAGTGATTATTTTCTTAAAGTTAATGGCAGTTCTCAGATGAGTAAGGGCTGTAAGATCCAGCCCATTCATTTAACAACTTTAAAAGCATTCATTTCTTAGCCTTAATGGATCTCCAGTCTGTCTGAACAGCATTGTGCTCAAGAAGAGCAGCAGAAACCATTCCCTGTAAGCCTCTCCTGCCTCCAGGCTGCTTCTTGTTTGCCGATTCAAGCAGTCTTGCTCCTCTAAAACAGAGTTTTGCCACTGACTTCAAAGGGGGAGGAACGAGCGTATGGTCAGGTTTTAAAATAACAGTGGATTCCTCTCTGCACTTCTACCACACCTTTCTAGGGAAGTCTCACGACACTTTCTAATGATGATGTTAAAGATTGCCGTTTTTTCAGTTAGGCATATTTTATATGTGGTAGGTGCTTGATTACCCATTGCAGAGGACAGCAGCAGACAGTTTCATAGTATATGGCAGCAGTAGTGCATAAAGAAATGTAAGAGGGATCATGTCAGAAGGCAATTCCACAGGTAGTTTAGTGTCCACAGTATAAAAGCGGCATTTAGAATAGGACGTTCCCAGCATTATCTTTACATGGGTGCCACACAGCGTGTGTGTCTGCAAGATGTCGGGACCCACAAGGGACAGGCAAACCCCAGCGTTTGGTCACCTTCATTTCTCTGAATTGCTCTGCGTGGTCAATCATTTTATTATTCACTTTAGCTTAATGCTCTGATGTTCTCTCCCTCTGTGCAAATACAGTCTGTGTCTCCTTAGTTTTCTCAGCAACTCTGCTAAAGTATTTCTGGTACTTCTGGCTTTGTCATCTTCACCCAGATTTTCTACTTCTGTGTCTTGGTGATGGCTTTCTGGTGGGCTCCACCAGGCTGGTGCTGCTGCCGCGTCCCCTGTGCAGTCTCTGCCTGTCCGCGGAGGTGAGCAGCTCTCAGGAAGGGCCAGGTGAGCAAGCCCGAATTAACTCCAAGTGGGAGCACTGCTCAGGCAAAAAGGAGAGCCAGGCCCGGGCTGGCAATCCTCAGATTTTTGCCTGGCAAATGGGCGATCCTGCTCCCCAAATGCTAAAGCTCCTGCTCCTAGCTGTTACAAGAACAACACTGAAACCATAATTAAGAAACAAAGCATGAATTGTCTGTGCTTTTTTCATAGCAAAGAGAGAGCTGGCCTCAGAAACATAAGGCCAAGTGCTGGGCCCTGCACTTGGGTCACAACCGCTTGGGGAGAAGTGGCTGGAGAGCTGCCCGGCGGAAAGGGACCTGGGGGTGCTGGTTGACAGCCGGCTGAACATGAGCC